ACTAATCATATTATTGTTTCTAGTCAAAGAATTACAAATATATATCAACTAGAAATTTTTTTAATCAATCTTCCCCTCATGTCCTCTCCAAAATCCCATAGCCAAACAAGCCTTTAGATACTGATCCTGGCTGCTAGCACTCTCCAGGCACATACTGTATTCTCTCATTTTTAGGTGGTATTTGTGTTTGTGTAGGTGTTTGAGGTGAAAAATGATGCAAACATGAAGAGAACTAGGCAGAGACCACTACCTTCAGGGCGGATTACTATACATCATGCTATTGCCTGGGCATCTTGTGCCGGTGTTGCCGGCACTAGTTTGTTGGCTTGCAAGGTGACCAGGCATTTTAAGCAACTCTTTTTGTACTATGGTGTATTTAATATACATGGAGTACTATATTGTTCTTTGAGTCACTGATGTTGCTATACATATGACAAGGTTTTTACAGGCAAACATGTTGGCTGCTGGCCTTGCTGCTTCTAATCTTTGTCTTTACGCGTTTGTGTACACTCCACTGAAGCAGATACATCCCATTAATACATGGGTTGGGGCTATTGTCGGTGCTATCCCACCACTTCTTGGGTAATTTTTTCTTTGTTGACTCTGTATGCTATGAAGTACCAAAGCTATGTTTGGAACCCATAAAATGATAGATAAAGGGAAAAAAACTATGAAAAATATTTTTATGTTTGGTTTTAAATTAGAAAAGAAATATACAAAAGGGAAATCAAATTTGATTAGAACTCTAAAATTTTACACACACACACACACATATATATATATATCTTAGTCTTTATACTTCCTTCACTGTAAAATAGATGTGACTTTTGGACTTTTGCACTATTCACACACTCTCGATCAACTTTCTTTTATGATCTATAGATAAGGAAATATATAGTCATCTTGGATCTTGTTGGATTCCTTTCGAGTTTCGATATAAAACTTTAATAATCTTTATTACGGAGTAAAACATAAATGAAGACACCAATGATTTAATTTATACGTTGGTGAGTGTTAATTACAAGTGTTGCATTTATTTTAGAACAGAGGAAGTATAATAGAAGTATATGAACATATTGTGTTTTAAAAATTATTTAAAATGATTTTTAAAATTTGAATCAATTTGATAATTTTCCCCATATTCTGTTCCTTCCAAACAGTCCCTTTTAGAATGTTTTTGTTTTTGAATCAGTTGAGCTTAACATGTTTAAAACTTTTTAAAATTGAACATATATATAAATTTATTAGCCTTTATAAATTTGTTTTTTTAAATAAGGGAGTATTTAAATTTCTTAGCCTTTATCGAGTACAAAGCAGTTTTTATAGTCCCCACATTTTGTTTCATTCTACATTTTCTCTATCTTCTCACTTACTTTTTTTCATTGGCATTTCCCTAGTTCCAAAAAAACTGTTTCTTTTTCAAATTTGGAAAATACTTGTGAATTCCTAAATAGAAAATTTAACAAAGTGACCACCACACCCATCATTGAATGCAAAACACTGAGGTGGTTGGTGAGACTGACAAAGTGGTAGTTTTGTGTAATCACACTCTCTGATTTTGGAAGTAAAAAGTGAAGTTGAGGAACTGACTATTCGTAAACACGTTTGGACTTTGGAAATGTGAAATGGCATTGAAAAATGCATATTCAATGCACTTATCCATCATGCTTCTTCAGGTGGGCTGCAGCATCTGGTCAATTATCCCTCAATGGATTCATTCTCCCTGCTGCTCTTTATTTTTGGCAAATACCCCACTTCATGGCCTTAGCATACTTGTGCCGCCAGGATTATGCAGATGGAGGGTATTATAGCCTGCCCCTGTTTTTATGTTTTTTTTGTCAATGAATGAATCTACCTTCTTATTAGGTTCTTTCTCACCCTCTCTTATGTTATCTTGTCTAACTGTACACATAGGTTTAAGATGTTTTCCTTGGCTGATGCTTCTGGTCAGAGAACATCTTCAGTTGCCTTGAGGAACTGCCTGTATCTACTACCACTTGGTTATCTAGCCTATGACTGTGAGTCTCAACCTCTTTTTCGAAAACTGTTCTCTCATTTGAAAACTAAAAGTGTTTTTGTATAAAAGCTTCAATCTGACACTTTCTTAAAAAGCTTGTTTGGTGTATATATATATATATATATATATATATATATATATATTTGAAATTTATGGCTTATTTTACAATATGCTACCAGCCATCTTTGGTAAACAGAATAACAGCTTAAAATAAGCTCTTGTTTTTAAAGCTATCTCCCATAGTTTCTTTAGAAATAAGTTCACAGTTTAAAGAAGTGTTTTAATTGTACCTGTAATAACCCTATTTTTTTAAACCACTTATCCTCTATAATCAATAAGAATGCTATTAAATGTCATTTTACATAATAAACTTTTCAAAAGCTAAAAATTACCAAACACTTGTAACACCATATATATAGCTTTCAGTTTTTTAGTACTATTATTTCTCAACCCATCAAAGCACAAAGAGTCAAAGCCCTCATTGGGGTAACCCGCGACCTCCCATGTGGGAGAACCACAGTCATGTCGCTGGACTACAAGGTATTTGGCTTTAACATCACATTTAATCAATTTTCTATGGTGAGAGATTTAATCAATTTTCTTTGCTGCGATATTTAATCAATTATGCGGTGCACAACAGTCCATAGTGGTGTTGATTAAGACTAGTTCTGTATCTTCTTCTTCTTCTTCTTCTGCACAGGGGGGTTAACCTCAGGGTGGTTTTGCCTCGAGTCCACATTCCTTGCTCTTGCCATCACCGCCACAGCAACATCCTTCTCCTTCAGTCGCACAATCAAAGATGCCCGGAGGATGTTTCACGCCAGCCTTCTTTACCTTCCAGTCTTTATGTCTGGACTTCTTCTCCATCGTGCGTCCAATAACAACGAGCAACATGTGACCGTGAAGAACAAGATGGATACAGAAGCACTCATGGGTCAAAAGAGAGAGAAGTGCTTGCTCGGTGCTGATTCACGCCCTCCTGTTGCATACGCTTCTATTGCCCCTTTTCCTTTCTTGCCGGTTCCCTTATACGCCGAATCGTAAGTCTTTCTTTGTTTCTTTTTCTGTCTTGTTTATGTATTATTGACATCACTCCCGCCCTTAATAAGAGTCATGTCTGTAATGTTTGTTTTTTGTGGAGGGGACGGGATGTGATATTATTATATACACGTCAAGGGTGTTCCATCTGCTATTTTTCCCCCCTTCTCTTAAATGGACGTTGTGGGGGGTTTGCTTCTTCAGTTTTGATTCCAACAGTACATTATTGTTTTTCCATATTTAATAATGCTTGTATTTATTATTATTATTATTATTGTTGTTGTTGTTATTATTATTATTATTATTATTATTATTATTTGCAATTGTAAATGGCTTTGTTTTATCTTTCTCTATCACCATGAACCCACTGCGAGGAATAAAAAGGAACCTGTTTTGAAAAGCATGGGAAAATTCTGGAAATATTTTCTGGGAATATGAAATAAATCGAGCAGCTGTTTAAGAGATGAAAACGTCACATGAGGGATGAAAACAACGACTCCCGTTATCGTCCACCTCATCCATCTTTCAGTAATTCAATTATTATTTCAAAACTCATATCATTTGTTTTAGATTTCAAAAACTATGATATCACACTTCCATAACCCACAAAACACGCCTTTAGAGATCAAATTTAATTACAAAGGTAGAGAAACTTGATTTTGGATTATTTTGAGATGAAGGTAATGATTGCACAAGAGCTTTGACGACTCACGAATGCTTGGAAGCCGAGAGGAGAGCTCGGACTGTCGTCTAAGCATTTAAGGAAGACGCGCTACCGCCGTCGCTTGAGCAACTGCAGAATTCTGACTGGCGACTGACGACGATGAGTGAAAAGCTCGCCAGAGCTCTTATTGCGCCCCCCAAGTTGATGTATACCATGATTCAATCCATTTTAAAAGCTTTTCAAATCCGATAATTTCACACTTGAATTAGACTCCAAATGTGACAGTTTTAAAGGACGGCATGGGAGGAGGAAGCAACTCCGCAATGAGACGTCGTGAGCAGTCAGACCCATCTTCGATGTTGGTTCGAATCCAGGAAAGTCCTCGGGTCAATATCTGCAGAGAATGTAGGCTCGGAAAGGAGTTACCTTCAATGGGGCTTTACGTTTTTTATTGTGATCTTAGGAAAACATTTACGATTTGCATTGTATTTTTCCTTTAAATTACGGAGTATTTTTTTACTCCCCGTCCCATTTTATAACGCCTATTTCGGTTTACGATGTTTGACTAAAATTATTTTCAAATCATTTTATATGACAAATGGTATAGAGTTAAAAGATCTACAAAACTAGTAGTGACAATAGTACTTTATTTTATCAAATTGCTAACAAAAATATAGAAAGAAAGTGAATGAAGTTTGACCCTCTGAATAGTGAACAAGCATTCAAACTCAGCGACGAATTTGTGAAGAAGTACGAGAGGAAGGAGAAAACTTAATTGATGAGAAAGAATGTGAATTTACAAGTTTATCCATGTTTTTAACAAGAATGTTAACATAGAACTATTCGAAGAAAATAATATAATAATTGAGGACTAAAATATTGACATTTAATATGTTAGGTCTAAAAATGGAAAATGACATGTAATTAGAGATTATTTATAGAATATACTCTTTTACTCTCTCCGTTCCACAAAACCCTTCCGGTTTTGACTTTGGGGGAAAATAAGGAAAGTGAAATTTTGGTTGACTTTCCAATTTTGTCCCTGATGTGATGGGAAAAAGTAAGATGTGATAGTTTGGTTATTAGTGAAAAAGTATGATGTGATAGCTAGGGTATGAAAAAGTAGGAGTAAAAGTGATTTTTTTAATAGAAAGTGAAAGTGTTTTTTGGAAAACAAAAAAACAAAAGAGGAAGGGTTTTGTGGGAGGGAGAAACTATTTATTTTTTCCTACTCAATAATAAAAGACGGATACGGATTAAGGAGTACTAAAGCAAAGTCTGCAACACATAGAAAACGTCTTGAATCGGAGATAACTCAGCGGCTGAGAGCACGGGCTGCACCGCACTTTCAATCGGCAGCGGCAACTGGAATCGAAGAAACAACCGCAGGTAAAACTCTTCTAGGGGCACTGGATCTTCCGGAGCATTCTCTTCGTTTTCGTTTGATTTTGGGAATGAATTTAAGATCTATGTTTTCATGTTTAAATAGAAACCTTTAGTTTTAAAAAAACAATAGAAAACCCTAGTCGACTCCATTCGCAATACGCTTCAGTTGTCCGGCTCTTACCTTCGCGTCTGTCCCGTCATCGTCTCCAGCCATGCCTCGTGCAACAGCCGCCGCCACTGCGTCTCCGATCTCTGCTTCGTTGGGCGGCGGCACATCTCCTCTGTCCTGTCAGAACCCGAATCTCCATTTTTGGTTCAAGAATTTGTTATACACGTTATAATTCCATACAGGTTTCAAATCCATTAAGATTTCATATCAGTTCAGTCTGATGATTTGTTTTCAAGTGGACATGATAGTGATAGAGTTTGTTTGTTTTATTAATTTCATATGAATATGGTTTTTTATGTATTGTGCTTAAATATTGTCAGTTGATTGGATTTGGAGCAAAAGGGAAATGACATTGCACTCCTAATTTTACTATTGGCACACCAAAAGTATTGAACTGTTGATTTTCTATAGGCGATGTTAATGCAGTAATTATTATGGAGTAGGATACTGATTGTCATAATTTGACTCAGTAAACATCAGACTGAACTGATACTCCCTCTGTCCCAAAATTATGTCTCACTTTGAGCAACGTCCAAAATCTTATTTTAAAAAGGGTTAAATATGTTTTTAGTCCATGTAAAATAACATCACCTGACTTTTGTTTTTGGTCCCGGTAAAAGTTTGTTTTAAACTTACCCTCATAAAATTTTTTATTTTGTAAATGGTCCTTAAACATAAATTGATCTTCTAATTGATTAAGATAGCATATTTATTTCATACACAACATCATAGTCTTATATTTCTAATTACCTGACACAATTCTCATGCCCTAAGTTGTTTCCTTATATCATAGTCTTGTATTTCTAATTACCCCGACACAATTCTCATATCCTAAATTGTTTCATTATTCATATTACATCTCCATTTCCCAAATTTATTGGGTATATAATATAATAAATAAAAAAATTGGAAATTGGGGATGTAATTCTATGAATGAAAATTTAGGCCATGAATATTTAGGCCATTAGAAATGCAAGACTAGGATGTTGTGTTTACCAAATAAATGTGGTATCTTAATAAATTAAATGTTTTAACATTTAAGGACCATTTTCAAAATAAAAATTTTGCAAGGATGAATTAAACGAAAAAATTAGAGGGACTAAAAACAAAAATCGCCTTGGGATTAAAAATATATTTAACCCAAAAATCTATTTTGTTTACAAATCGGTATAGAAATAAATTGTACAAATTACATATATAGAAACTACATCAAAAGTTCTACAAAACAATGAAGAAAAGAATATATTATTTTATATGATCAATGAAATCATGCATTCAAACAAAAGTTATCGAGATGGCAGAATAGTAAGTATGACAATAAATCTGGGACGGAGGAGTGTCAAATCATTAACTATGGAGTATTTGATTTTGAGTGTTCATTTTTAAACATTTTGAAAGAATAAACAATTGTCATTAAGGAAAAGACCCTTACTTACCTCTACTACATGTAATTATTAGGGGATCAGTATAAGGTATTAATTTACAGCCTTGAAAAGGCTCAACAAATTTTTCAGCTGTTTGAAGTTCCAACCCTACAAAGTTCTATTTTGTCTAGAGGCTATGTTGATTGATTTCATTTTGCAGGACAAGAAAAAAACAATAGTGTGTAATTATGGCTGAAGTGATGTCAATGTTTGACGTTCAAGCTGCCGCATCACGGCTCAACATTGACCTCTCTGGAGTCGATCTGGATTCAATCCGCCTCCCTCCTGGTGAGGATATGGGCATCTTAAGGTAAATCTAGATCCACCTCTATTTTAACCATGTACTGAACTGAATTGGTTTTGATGTCATCTTATTATTGTGATTGTTTTTCTTTTTTGGAACAATAGTGATGATGGTGATTTAGCAGAGGGGGATGCGTTGGAGTTCGACAATGGGTTCGGGAACGTGATAGTTGTTGACAATTTGCCAGTTGTTCCCAAAGAAAAGTTTGAGAAGCTGGAAGGTGTCATTCGAAAGATATACAGTCAAATTGGGGTCATTAAGGACGATGGTCTTTGGATGCCTGTTGACCCTGATACTCAGAAAACCCTTGGCTATTGTTTTATTGAGTACAATACTCCACAGGTACTAATTTGTTGTTTGTTTATATTTCTATTGGTTTAACACATGAGTGCACTATTTTTATGTACTCTTTTGATGGAACTAGTCATTTAATTGCCATGCAGAATTACACGAAGTGTATGCTTCAATGTCAATATGCCATTGCTATAATATTTTTACACTGTCCCATAATTGGATTCATGCTTCAAAATTTCTGTCCAAAAAAGTCCTATCTCATAAAAGAGATCTATTTTTTAAATTTTAGTTTCCCTATGAAAATGCAAAAAAGTTACAATATGATACATATAGTTATGCTGAAAATTAAAGTATTAATTTAAGTGTGATCCCCAGACTTTATAAAGAGTTGTACCTTACCAAGATTCTTAAAGTCTCCCATGCTGACTTCATTTGTTTGATGCTTTAGGAAGCTGAGCTTGCTAGGGAGAAAACACATGGTTATAGATTAGATAAATCCCATATTTTTGCACTTAACATGTTCAATGAAATCGAGGAATTCATGAAAGTTCCAGATGAATGGGCACCACCAGAGACAAAAGCTTATACACCAGGGGTAAGCATCTGCATCTGCTCTCTATTGGAGTCTTTCATAAGTATCATCTGGTCATTCAATTTATTTTTTAAATTATCGAAGTGACTTGCATTTTATTTTCAGGAGAATTTACAAAACTGGCTCATTGATGATAGAGCCAGAGATCAGTTTGTAATTCGTGCTGGGGCAGATACAGAAGTTCTATGGAATGATGCTAGGCAGATGAAGCCAGATCTTGTTTATAAACGTCAGGTGTGTTGGTGTGTATGTGAAATTGTTTTCTGACACAGTGATACCCCAACAAGCCCGTTTGCTGATTTTTTGTATGGGTACAATGAAATGTATTTTAAAATGTAATTGAACTCTTTGTTGGAGATTGGGATTGCCTCCCTACTTTGGAGTAGGGACAAGGTCTGCGTACACACACCCTCTCCAGACCCTACTGTAGTGGGATTCAACTGGGTTGTTGTTGTTGTTGTTGGAGATTGGGATTCTGCTTTCTGCCCCTCTTTTTTTCTCACTAACCATTATTATGTGTACTTCTACTCAGTATTGGACTGAGAGTTTTGTTCAGTGGTCCCCTCTGGGCACTTATCTGGCCACAGTTCATAGGCAAGGTGCTGCCATCTGGGGAGGTGCTACCAGCTTTGAACGTTTGATGCGTTATCCTCACCAACAGGTTTCTTATTGATGTGGATTTTAAAAAAAATTGGATTTTTTGAAATTAAATGAAGTCTATTATTTACATAATCAGCTATGTTGGCTCTAAATGCAGGTGAAGCTCATTGACTTTTCTCCTGGAGAGAGCTTCTTGGTAACATACAGCAGCCATGAGCCAAGTAATCCTCGCGATTCTCATGTAAGTTTGTGATTTTGACTAGATGATGAGTTTGCAATTATACTTTTGCTTAGTTTTTGTGGACGATGGCACATTTTCTTCAGTATTTTTCATTTTACAGAGGGTTGTTTTGAACATTTTTGATGTGAGAAGTGGAAAAGTCCGAAGAGATTTTAAGGGGAGTGCTGATGACTTTGCAGTTGGGTCTGGAGGTGTTGCTGGTGTCTCCTGGCCAGTTTTTAGGTGAGCTTGGGCAAAATTTTCCATATATTGATTGCAATATGCATTATGAAATGTATTTAGGCAGAGATTTAAGCGAGTTGATGTTATCAGGGTGACTCATGGGAATGTAACTTTGTTGTTTAAATAAAATATTCCAGATGGGGCGGCGGCAAGGAGGACAAGTATTTTGCCAGAATAGGAAAAAATGTCATCTCTGTATACGAAACAGAGACTTTCAGCCTTGTTGACAAAAAGTCTATAAAGATTGATAATGTTCTGGACTTCAGTTGGTCTCCAGCGGATCCCATTCTTGCCCTTTATGTTCCTGAACTTGGTGGAGGAAATCAGCCTGCAAGGGTAGGTGGTTTCTATCATTTGCATTGATTTATTTCTTTACTTCTCCATTTCTAGGTCTTAATTATTCCAAACTAAGGCTCTGCTTGTTATCCTTGTTTCTCTTATTTTGCCCATAATATGTAGCCTTTAACTTTTGGCCAAAAAATGTTACCAAACGATTCCCTTTTCAGAAGTTTGAGCCAAACCCTTACCAAATTGGTCCTAAATAAATTGTTCTTTGTTCCTTACAGGTGAGTCTTGTACAAATTCCAAGCAAGGAAGAATTAAGGCAGAAGAACCTTTTCAGTGTCAGCAACTGCAAAATGTATTGGCAAAGCAATGGGGAGTACCTTGCTGTTAATGTTGATCGGTACACAAAAACAAAGAAAAGCACATATACAGGCTTTGAGCTGTTCAGAATTAAGGAAAGAGATATTCCCATCGAGGTTTTGGAGCTGGAGAACAAGAATGATAAGATTATTGCATTTGCTTGGGAGCCAAAAGGACACAAATTTGCAATTATCCATGGTGACAACCCAAAGCCAGACATTAGCTTCTACTCTATGAAGAGTGGCAATAACACAGGAAGAGTTTCAAAGCTTGCAACAGTCAAAGGAAAACAAGCAAATGCTCTATATTGGTCACCAACAGGCCGTTTTATCATATTTGGTGGCTTGAAGGGGCTCAATGGGCAATTGGAGTTCTTTGATGCGGATGAACTGGAAACCATGGCCGTGGCGGATCACTTCATGGCTACTGATATCGAATGGGATCCTACTGGAAGGTAACTTTTAGAAGAACTGAGATATATAAGTATAAGAAACCAACACTATGTTTGGTTCAAGGAATTTGGAATGGAAAAGAAAAGAAAACAGGTTTCTCTCATTTTCCTCACCAAATGGGAGGATTTTTGTTATCCCTCCTCTTAGTTCATTTTGCCTTTTCGTTTTCTTTTCCTTTTCTTTTCCTTCAATGTTTCTTTTCCTCTCTAACCAAACAAGAAAAATTACTTTCTAATAATTTCATTTTCTTTTCCCTTTCAAATTCCTTGAACCAAACATAGTGTTAATTTTGGATATGAACATTTATTTATTTGATTGTGCCAACAATTTCCATCTATGTAAATATACTTATCAATTCACTATTCTAATGGTGTTATCCAACTTCTTAATCACTCTAAGATATGTCGCGACATCTGTCACTTCTGTTCATGAAATGGAGAATGGTTTCAACATCTGGTCTTTCCATGGCAAGCTATTGTATCGGTTCTCGAGGGATCATTTCTTCCAAGTAAGATATTACTGCTATATGCGTGTGTGTGTGTGTATGTTTGTATGTGTGTGTGTGTGTGTATATATATATATATGTGTGTGTGTGTGTAATGTTCTTCCTTTCGTCTTCTCTAATGGAGTCAAATATTTACTATTATTTGGTTTTGGAGTAAGATGAAATAAAGCAAAACAGTTCTTAAACTATCTGTGCTTCTTTTGATAGTGGAGTGACTGTTAGTCAATGCAATGTTCGACGGTGATCATGGGTTATCTGGAAACAGCCGCTCTTTGTTTTAACACAGGGGTCAGGCTGTGTACATCCAACCCCCTTATTCCGCAATGGGTGTGAGGCTTTGAGGCACTGGGTTAATGTTGTATATATTATGGTGTATTATAGTGCACATTAATAAAATAAAATAAAATTGTTCTCTCTTTCTAAAGCATAATGCACCAAGATATTGGCCCTCATCGCAGGCCTTTTACTTTAGAGTATATATTCTAAGGAGGGAAAACAATATTTTGGTGTATTATGCTTTAGGGAGGAAGAACAATTTTTCTTTATTATGGTGTATTATAATATTCTGTATAATCTACGGAGTACATTTTAAAACCAAAGTACATTTTAGAATCGAAATGGAGAATGGTTTCAACATCTGGTCTTTCCATGGCAAGATGTTGTATCAGTTCTCTAGGGATCATTTCTTTCATTTTTTCCAAGTAAGATTGTATATAAAGGGATCCAACAGCTTGGAAGACCAAGGCCCCCATATTATGAAGGGATGAAATAAGTTAAATATGAATTTGGTATGATTGCAGTTTCTGTGGCGTCCAAGGCCCCCATCTTTCTTGAGCAAGGAGAAAGAGGAGGAGATTGCGAAGAATCTGAAAAAATACAGCAAGAAATATGAGGCAGAGGACCAGGATGTTTCTCTACAACTAAGCGAGCAAGACCGCCAGAAGAGAAGGAAGTTGAAGGAGGAATGGGAGGCGTGGATCAATGAGTGGAAGAGAGCGCACGAAGAGGAGAAATTGGAGCGGCAAAAGCTCCGCGATGGGGAAGAAAGTGACGAAGATGAAGAGTACGAGGCTAAAGAAGTCATGTTTGAGGACGTGATCGATGTTTCCGAGGAGGTTCTTTCTTTCGACTGATAATAAAGACTTTCTTGATCATCTTTTTTAGACCTCCCACCAAAGTTATTTCCCAAGATTGCACTTTTTTGATTAACTTTGTTTTGGGCTAGTGTCAGTTGTGACTTTTGAATGTTGAGGCTTGGGAAGATGTTTAGCATTTTAGTTACAATTTATGCTGTTTGTTTTTCATGGATTTTCGTTTGTAAGTTTAGAGCATTTATTTGTGAAATTTTTAACAGTTCTTACTATCCCTTGTTTTGATGTTTCTATGTGAAATGCACGGATATGGGTAAACATGGCATTTAGAAATGCAATTTCTTAAGAAAAAAAGCAAGGCAAGATGCATATGGCATTTGGAAACACTCCGTATGTTTCAAAACTTAGGGCTTATTTGGTGAATCTTATAGCATTTGATATGATATGAGTTTTTAACTGTTGCATAATTATCAAAAAATTGATCTGAAATTTTATTTATAATGTGTAAGTTAACTCTTCCATGTGTTACATAGTGATCTTCAATAGTAGTATAATATTCAAAATGAGTTCAACATTATTTTGCTTTTCAAGTATTTTTGTTTTAAGGTAATGTCGTGTAATATAAGAGGTGGAAAAAGGCCCTTGTTTTTAACCACAAAGACGGGGTAACATGATTCACGTTGTGTAGTAGGTGTGTGCCATGCGTGATTCACATTTTTCTTATACTCCGGGGTATTAAATAATGGGAATATTATATTAGCATAGCAAAAATGGAATATATGGAGTATTATTTTACAAATAAATGACAAAAGTAAACAAAAAAAATGAACATGTGAATAATGTATTGAGAGTTCACAAGATTTAATTTTTTACCATAATTTCTTCCGAGTGCCTTATTATCCATGCGTGTTGTATGGGCTAGTAGTTTTTTCTTCTGGATTCGTTGAGTTAAAAGTTTTGAATAAGTTTATGCTCAACATTGTATATGCATATGATGATGACATTGTTGTGCATCACAACATATGATCTTGAAATGTTAATCACACTTCTTATGTTTTACGCTAATGTAGAACTCAACTCACTCCAATAAGGTAAGTATCTAGTTAGTTTTGAAAGACCTTGAGAATGAGGTTCATCATTTTCTTAAATGTGTTAACTTGTGGGATATAGATATGAACTAGGGGTATAAGTTAGGAAAGATTTTCTTTTTATGGATTCAATCCATCACCAACACATCATTACAAAGAATATAATCTACTCTAAGAAGTTGAAGTAGTATAATTCCAACTTCTAAGATCAAAATTTACACACCCTGAACCCTAAAAAAATAGAGAAGTTGTATCCATTAGACCATTGAAGCATAGCAACATTTACTCTACACGACTTCATCGGGAGTCAGAAACAACGGAATTTTAACGCACCATTTTGATTTAGTCCATTGTTTAACCGCGGCTAAAACATTGTCAATTATGACTCTTTTAGCTCCATTGCCAATAGACATTATAAAATGCATGCTTCCACTGCTTCCTTCACTAGTCGGCACAATTTAGTGACAAGCAGAGGTTTCACAAAGAAATTTATAGGGGCAATGATAATAACACATCATATTTCTTAGTTTGCCAATGTATAACAAACAGGCAACAGGTTCACACACACTTCAACATGGTTTAACTACATCAAGTGTAAAAAAAAATAGATTAAAATGAATGGAATTATTATTATTATTATTCCTAAATATAACCTTTCTCTATAACAAAACAAGAACCAAATCAACTTCCTCGTCCAATGCCAAATTGAATTATAGCAGCTTGGTACAAATGCACTCTTTAAACTGCAACCTGCAACATGTGGTAAAAAAGGAAGATAAAAACAAAAACAAACAACAAATAGAGCAAATCAATAAGGGGAAAAGACACAAATTGTGAAGCTGATGAAAAACGTTTACTTTTACTCCCAACCTTTCGGATATTAATAGGTGGACAGGAAATGAGTGTTCTACTAAAACCTAGATTTTAGGAGGTAGTCACAAAAACCTAGATATACTGGGTTCGGCTTGGCTTGAATAGAAGCAATCTTAGGAGTTATTTAATTCCTGGGTTCTCATATCAGAAAAAGGTTAGAGGGTCAAGGAAAACAGGACATGATGGCTGAATGTGCTTACCATAGAGCCGCTATAATATGTTTGGTGATTTATAGAGTGAGAAGTTCCTGTTTGGAGCAACGTGATTCTAGCACCTACTTACCTCATATTCTGAGCATAACATGTTACTTAGTGAGTACAGTCAGAGAGTGTAGACTAAGAGGTAGTGGACAATGACACTACATGTAAGTAAATAAAAAAAGTGTCAAAGGTGAACACAGTCTATAAGTTGTTTTATGAAACCAAGTACGAAATGAATTTGTCCGAAACTAGAGGACCCGTTCAACAACTGGTCCAAGCATTTAGTGTCAACAAACTAGGCCAGGAAGAACTGGTCCATGATCATGCAAGTCATGGAAGATGAAAAGTTTGATCATGAGCCATGACCGTAACTTCTTTAATGAGCAACAATTTTTTTGCATTTCTTCTGTGTATCTAAAAAGTTTGATATGATGCCATATTTCTTTGGTAAAGAGTTGAAAAAAGCTTTTGGTAAATTGATTTCATGCCTTGAAGAAGCTTTATTGCTTATCCTAAGTAAATTCCATGGATTATTACTCGTAGACTATGTTTGGTTCAAGGAATTTAAAAGGGAAAAGAAAAGAAATCAAGATGGAAACCAATTCTTCTTGTTTGGTTAGAGAGAAAAAGAAAAAGAAAAGGTGATGGAAAAGGTAAAATATACTAAGAGGAAAGAAAACCAAATTCCTAAACTCATTTTCTTTTCTTTTCCTTCCTAATTCCTTGAAATAAACATAGTGGTAATGTTTTTTTAACCCTTTGTAATTCATTTGATTTTAATGAATAAAATAGTTATTAGTTTATGGTTTATTCAATCATAAATATTACTCCGCAATTTATTATTGAATGAATAATTTCATTTGTTTTTTTATAATGAGACATGTCTCATGTTTTTTTACTCCAATAACAATGTTTTACCTTTGCATCAGATGGAGTAAACACTGCTTTAACCTCTTCAAACACTTCATCAACAGGCTTGGAAGCATCAATCTGAAAGGCATCACAAGATATTAGAATGGTGTCATTCAATGAAAGGGTGAAACTCTAACTCAAATGTGAAGATATTACCCTCTGAACCTTGCCCTTTGACTTGTAGTATTCAATAACAGGGAGGCTGGACTCCATGTAAACATTAAATCGCTTCCTTATTGTGTCTATATTGTCATCTTCTCTTCCCTTCATGTCAGAAAATAGAAAAATCACGCAATCATACAAAAAAAACATATCACATAAAAACAGACCAGAAACTTCTAATTGTTATATACTCCTTATAAAAAAGACCTGATTACGGCTCAAAAGGCGGCTCTCCATCTCTTCCTCAGAACAATCAAAGAAGAGGACAAATTCTGGAAGAATTCCAGTCTGCAAATAATAAATGCAAGAGTACCTTATTACGTTGCTGCTGGGTAATATTGATGCGAATTTGAACATTTAAATTTCCAAAAAAACTTACAACTCGTTCAAAAGCTTCGCGATTTTCTTCGTTGCGAGGGAAGCCATCAATAAGAAACTTGTCGTTCTTATTATCATTGATAGCACGTTGGAGGAGAGCAATTGTTACTTCAGAAGGTACAATTTTTCCTTCTTTGATCATGTTCTGAATCATTGTACTATAAGGTAAAGAACAATTAAGTTAAAATTCATACTTCTAAAAATCTAAAATGACTAAGTCACCATAAGGACGACTCCCAATAAATTATACACATTCATCTTGCCCTCAGTGATCTACCCTTTCTAAGAACAAAGGAAAGTGTTTGCCGATGCCACAAACACAAAAATCAGAAAAATGAGAACATTTTCATAGAAACAAACGGAGCCTTAGTGTCATACTCCCTCCGTCCCTAAATAAAGTTTCTCTTTCGTTTTTTTTGTCCCTAAATAAACTTCTCTTTTCCCTCAAAAAACCCCTTTTACCCCTTACTTTTTCATACCCTACCTATCACATCATACCTTTTTACAAATAATCTACCTATCACATCTTACTTTTACACATCACATCAAGGGTATTTTTGGAAAGTCAACACAAAAATATCCCCCCTTAAATCCTCAAAAAGTCAAAAATGGAACTTTATTTAGGGACGGAGGGAGTATCTCTTTTGAATATTCATTTGTGTTAAGAGCATCTATTTTCTGACATTCTTTGATTATTTGATTCCCTTGAATTCATTAAGTCAAAAACTCAAAAAATTATTAAATACTCCATATCATTTTTTTCACATAACTAGTACACTGGGTATGGAGGTCAAATTAGTCAAAGCTCCTAGTCTTTGACTCTTTGGTGTCAATTTAAATGTGTAGAGGGCAATATTACCCATTTTCTGATCCGGACTTGATCTCTGCACGGAGGAGATCCCCAGCACTTAGATGGGTGTACCCAAAATGCTCAACTATTTTCGCACATTGTGTGCCCTTGCCACTTCCAGGGCCACCTGCAAAGTAAAAGAGCAGACATTACTAAAACTGGAGTACATATCCTGATATAAAGAAACTACCATCAGTTAAAAAATACTTTGGACTTTATTATTCACAATCAGTTGCCATTAACTAAAACAACAATCCAAATTGTTAGATTTGATTTGCCAAATGGGGGCATATGGGACGTGAAATTCATGATTAGGATTGACAAAACACAATGTTACTCATATTGGTACTTGTGAGTTGTGAATATCTTAAGATGATGATGATGAGCAGCTTATGTAAAACCCACGTACTCACCTAGGACAAAGACAACCTTAACCTTTTTATCAACTGCACTGCTTCCATTTGCTCCCTGCAATAAAACCTAACTTATCAAACAATATCTGAGACAAATAAGCACATTTTGATGCACACCGTGCCCAAAACTACGACAAATTTCCGGTGCCTTCAAATTTATGTCCTGTGTACAATTTTCAATTATTTATCACCAATCCATACAAATACAAGCTCTGGTTTCCAAATTTGAATTTCCACTAATGCATATGGTGATGACTAGATAAAATCATTTTTATTCCACAATTTAGAACCACTAAACTCTATTAGTTTTGGAATCAATTAATAACTTTCAAGTACTGCTGGATGCATTGGCGGTGGGGTGGGGATGGGAGGAACGGAGATGTGGTGGAATGATATTGAGCTTGCAAAACATTTCCAAGGTACCTTGTTTGCAAAGTCAATGACGGTCCCCATGAATGGCAAAAGAAACTAGTGTTTTGGGGGAGTAA